TATTGTGAATACTTCTATTCATCGTGGACAGCTGTAAAATAGTATGTAGGTAGAGAAATTTTTTTGTTTTAAGACAGACTGTTAATCACACATTTGTTTAAAGACGTTAATTAATTTATTGATTTATTCATATGTAGATTAACCACTTTTTTAAAAAAAGATTACAAAAACCACTAGACTCGACGGAAACAGTGACGTCACATGATGTGTTTACTTTTTGGTACAATAAAAATGGCGGACTCCATCATAGACTTTGTGGCCCATTCAAAAGTTTAACGCGTTACAAAGCTAATTTTCTGCCGGCTATAACTTAAACAATACGTCCTTTTGCTGTATTTATTACGTTCCAACACTTATATCAATTTTAAACTGTCTTTTTTCATTTAGTTTTACGATAAATTTCTCTAGATCTAAAGATCAGCTGTTGAAGGAAAGTTATGAATCTAGCCTAGATTCTAGATCTAGATTCTAGATCTAGATTCTAGATCTAGATTCTAGACCTAGACTCTAGATCTAGCCTAGATCTAGGTCACTAGACTCAATGTAAATTCTAGATCTAGACTTAATGTAAATTCTACATCTAGAATCTATTTCATGCCTTAATTATTTTATATAAATCTTTGTTTAGCTTCAATGATCATCTAATTCGAGACATGCTCGGCTGGAATCGTTTTTTAAACGATAAAAACATGTTGTCTGAGACTTGTCGGGACACTGGGCAGGTGAAGTAGAGTTGAGTAGGTCACCTGTGACGTCAGTATATGAAGAGATAGTCCGAAATCGGTGTTTTCGTTGTTTTTAAAAGATAAAAAACATATTTTTGAATGTGGGGTCTGTTTTTTTGTGACGATAAGTGACACTGCAGTAGCGTAGCGAGGGGCGGAGGGGGGGGGGGGCATATGTTCCCGGGCGGGGGGGGGCCTTAGGGGCGCCAAAATGGGTTGGAAAATTAAACTGAAAGGTTGAGGGGGGTGCAAATCGAAAGTTTGAGTGTAGGGGGGGGGTTCAAATCGAAATCTTGAGGGGGGGGGGGTGCACATCAAAAGTTTGGGGGGGGGGGGTTGCAAATCGAAATCTTGCGGGGGGGGGGGGGGTGGTTCGAATTGAAAAGTTTGTCCCCGGGCGCCGGGAAGGGTCGCTATGCCTCTGAGTGACAGACGTGATGTTTTTTGATGGATGACCCCCGAAACCCACAGTTATCCAACGGATGACGGGTAGTCTAGTATATATATATATATATATATATATATATATATATATATATATATATATATATGGTTCGTGCCCTTTAGAACAATCTTTACTTTTTACTACATTTTTATGAAAAGACCTGAAAAAAACCTCGCAAAGATATCCCAATGGGAATAGGACATAACCCCGCCCCCCGTCAATAGCCCCCAACCCGAATACAGCTTAAGGTACAGCTAGGGTTAGGGTTAAAGTTAGGGTTAGGGCTAGTGCTTAGCTTAGGGCTACAGCTACGGCTAAGGCTACGGCTACGGCTACGGCTACGGCTACGGCTACGGCTACGGCTACGGCTACGGCTACGGCTACGGCTACGGCTACGGCTACGGCTACGGCTACGGCTACGGCTGTGGCTGTGGCTGTGGCTGTGGCTGTGGCTGTGGCTGTGGCTGTGGCTGTGGCTGTGGCTGTGGCTGTGGCTGTTGCTCAGGCTCGGGCTCGGGTCAGGGTCAGGGTCACGGTCACGGTCACGGTCACGGTCACGGTCACGGTCACGGTTACGGTTACGGTTACGGTTACGGTTACGGTTACGGTTACGGTTACGGTTACGGTTACGGTTACGGTTACGGTTACGGTTACGGTTACGGTTACGGTTACGGTTACGGTTACGGTTACAGTTACGGTTACGGTTACGGTTACGGTTACGGTCACGGTCACGGTTTCGGTTTCGGTTACGGTTAGGCTTAAACCAATGATAAAAATTAGTACCAAAGTGTGTACCATTAATAAATTTTTCACTACTTTGTTAAAACCCTTTGTATCACCTTGCTGGTTGGTGTATGTTTAGCTTCATACTGAAATGTTTAATTAGTTATGTCCTCCATTCGTTTAACTGTATGTGGCCAGGTTTAGCCATTAAACTTTCAAGAGGCAGAATGTTCTAGACAAGATCTTATTCGTTTACATTTTGAGAATTGATTATCTATCCATCCCTTTTAGTCCATCTCTTGCAAGTTTGTCTGTATTCAGCTAATGACGACTGAAGAGCTTTTAGAAATACTATACAACCTTCTGCATTCACCACGACCATATAACCTATTACTCTAGTATTAGAGTGCACTTTCAGAAAATCCCAGATTGATTGTAATTGCCTCTTTCCTGAAAGAAAAATTACATTTACATTTTGGTATTTTGTAAAAATATATACAGGATGATAAAAAATCAGTAAGAGCTTTAAAAAAGTAAATTTAAATAAACGGAAAATAAGGTTAGAAACGTAAAAACTACGTCTAAAACAAAAAGTACATTTTAACTAGTTAAAAAAATATCTACCTGTTCGGGTACACATTACCATTTTGTCTAACCACCAGAAGCGTAGCGAATGGGGTGTACATATGTCCCCGGGCGCCAACCTTAGGGGGCGCCAAAATGGGTTGGAAAAATTAATCATAATCTCGTTTTAGCTGCAGTTTTGCATTATAAATATAAAAAAAAAATGGGAGGGGTGCAAATGAAAAGTTTGAGGGGGGGGGGGGGTTGCAAATTGAAAATTGAAAGGTTGTTCCCGGAGGGGGGGGGGGGGGGGGGGCGCCAAATTGAAAGTTTGTCTCCGGGCGCCGGGAAGTGTCGCTACGCCTCTGCCAACCACCGCTGGTCAGAGCGAGAAGGGACAATTTTTAATGAATCATTTGTTAACTTCATAAAAATGTACGTGATGAGTTTTTTTTGAGTGATATTTTTACATTTTGCATACAACCTTAAACTCGACATATTAGCCATTGTATTTCATATCTCACACCGCCTGTCAAATCAAGCATATTATGGAGTCAGCAATACGACATAAGTTCGCTTGAGTAGAAGGATAAAAAAAGTGCCGTTTTTTTAAACGTCTGAACATGTTCTCGGTCTACTTTAGAAAAAAATGGGATAGCCCGGTAGTAAACGATATCCGTTCTCAATTGTATTCGTTTATTTCATACCAAGTGCGAGGCTGTATTGCTTTCATATTTTTATTACCCCATAACGTTGTAAAAGTTTTCTAGTAAAATGAAATTACACAGACAAGAAAACATGTTACATCAAGTTTTAAATTTTATTCCAAGTGACAGCAATTCATAGTACGTGTCTGAACTTATTTTCCAAAAGTTTATACTTCACTACCATTGCAGTTTAGATGCTTTTCTGTGATATAATACTTTGAAGTATTATATATATATATATATATATATATATATATATATATATATATATATATATATATATATATATATATATACATATATATTTATATATGAAATGAAAATATTTTATATAAATTTGAGACGTTAAATTGTTGACCTATATATGTATATATATATATATATTAAATCGTATCATAAATTTATATATATATATATATATATTATATATATATATATATATTATATATATATATATATATATATATATATATATATATATATATATATATATATATATATATGTATGTATATATATATAATATTATATATTTGTATGTATATATATATATATAATATTATATATTTGTATATATATATATATATATATATATATATATACATAAAAATATATAAATTATATATATATATATATATATATATATATATATATATATATATATATATATATATATATATATAGGCTTAAATTGTTTATATTATAAAATAACTAACAATGATTGATTACATAAACACAATTATAAAACTAAGGGATTTATTTGAACTGCTTAGAGTGTGTCTATTTATTTACATTTTTACCTTATTCCTTATTCATTAAGAATCTTTGTAGCTGTGGTGATGCAGGTCTGGTAGCTGTGATATAACTTTGGCCACATAGTAATTATTTTCGATTAGGTGCCCTCAATAGGATGATTGCAACAATGAAAGTTTTACAGTCAGTTGTGTGGTGTTTGACCGCAGTGTGGATCTACGATGAAGATGAGAAAAATTGCTTTTTATAGGTAAACCGAACATTACATTTTTTAGATTTAAATAGTTAAAGTAATTTGCTAATCGGTGTCTAAGAATCGTGTCTGAAAACTTCACTGCAACATGATATTACATGTTATAAAATACAACACGAACTTTCCGCCCTACGTTCGACAAGTTTAAACAGCGAAAATAATCGCACCCTTTTCCAAGAATGTTGTCTTCCGCTATCATTCTTTTCAAAATTCCAAATACGTTTTTCTAATCAATGCTGGTAAACATAGTTTTATTTTGGCATAGCCTAGCAACTACTTTGGGTGTTGTTATAAATGCAGAGGCTATTGGTCACACTATGAATCAAGCTCTTGATCATTTTATTCGAGCTGGTCAGAAAACTGTAAGTGATATTTAATTTTTTTTTCTGTAAGTATTTTTTAAAATCAATCTTATTAACAATTAACAAACAAGAATATGATAGTCGACATAGTTCTGTATTATTTCTGTTAGAAATCTAAAGCAAAGTTTGTAAAATAAAAATTTAAAAGCTAAAAACTGTGTAAAATAAACATAATTTATTTATTACTTTGACAATAAACTAGACGAAGTTGTCGTTATTGCCCAAATATCACAGTTATTATCAATATTACTAGCGCTGACCACACTATCTGTTAATATGCGGTGGTTACAAATGCTGGTCAGCACTACTTCACTTGCCCCAAGGACCGTCAGGTTCAAAAGGGGAATTTTAGTTGATTATTAATAAACCGTGTAGCTATTGTTTACTACGAGTATACCGAACATAGAACAGATGAAGTAGAGTTCATGTGTTTTTTTAACACGACATATGAAGAATAATGTGGTGTACACTATATTCAGACGACTTTACTTCCCCTAACACGAGTCAGGTATTCATTACAGTTGGGTGGACTCAGAAAGTTTTGAGAGAGTCTTTCGACTTAGTGACCTTTGGAGTAGAAGTCATGCACTCTAACACTCGACCACACCGTCCCTCGCTTTTAACAAAGGTACATAAAGATCTCGTGTATAAGGTGCAAAAGAGTTCGCATTTATTTTGTAAGGGAGGTTATAATAAACGGATGCAACACTATACTTATTGTGTATCTGTAAATTTAAAGAGTTGTGTGTGTTCACAATGGTACGTTGCCATACAGCAATAGTATGCAATATAGGGTTAAATAAAGTCTTGCGAGCACTTTTGGTTTTTTATTTTCATTAGCTTGGTTTTTCCGGAGTTTATCTTAAGCCCGACGCTTTTAGCAATTTGCTCTATTTTTGTGGTTTTTGCTTGGGTGTCTTTATTTTGCCCAAAAAGTTATATATATATATATATATATATATATATATATATATATATATATATATATATATATATATATACCTAGGCATACGAAGAACGGCCTTTGATATAACATGTACAATAAAAAGCAGGTAAAACATATTCCATTTAAAACTCAGTCTTCGAACACGCAACGAAAATTGACGAGCAGGAAGCACTTGCAATTTTTCTAGTTATTAATTTGGTGTTTTGCTATTTATCCTATTTTTATGCCGTGTTTCTGCAAACATTATGACTAACTGAAAATTATTTAGGCCTACTCTTTCAATGCCTCAATTATTACATTCATATCTAATACCGGCTCAACGATTCTCATTAACCGGTTCGAGCTTCTCGTACAGCCGCTAAAAGATCTGGTTTCCCCACAAGCGTTTCGTTTAATGCCCAGGGCATAGTTTTACCTGGTTTGAATTAAAGACATCCGTACAAGAAAGCACGCATTCCTCTTTTAGGCCTAATGATTCGGAGTGCAGATGAAGTAGAGTTAATATGTTTCACGACGTATCCCCAGTCACCCGTAATTTCACTACGTGAGTCAGGTACCAACAAGAGCTGGGTGGACTCAGCGACGACCTGCAGTCCCGAAATCAGAACTCGACACGTTTGGGTTAGCATTCAAAGGCTCTTCTACTGTTCTGCAGTCACTCTGCCTTTTACTTTGCCCTCATCATTTTGTCTTAGAATTAGAAGAAAAGATTAACCACCCGTATTAGCCAATACATTTTCTACTGAATGTTATAACTTTTCGCAAACCTAGAAGATAATCCCAATGTCCGTACGATTAGCGACTTTGTAATTATACACTTTATATATTCAGACATCACCTTTACGACGGTTAAGGAGTTATATTAATTATCATTATTAAAATTATATTTTAACAATTTTACTTATTGTTTCAGATTGACAGATTTAACAATAAAAAATGTCGGTGAAATATATCGGTAAATATTAAAAAAAAAATTGGCTTTAAACTAATTTTAGTTTAGTGAATGAGTTTATGGAAATGACCCTGGTTAACAAAAATTGTAACACTTTTTTTATCTCTTTATTTAGTATTTCTAGCTGGAGTCATTTTTGGTAAGTTTTTTTAAAAGCAAAAATCAAGTTCGAGTACACACAAACAGAGCTACACAAACACACACACACGCACACACACACAAACACAAGTATCCATACACACATACATATAGTATAGAAATTACGTGTACAAGTTTCAAAATGATTTTGTGTTAAGCAATAAGATCTTAAATATACAAAACAACCATAATAATAGAAGTAATTGCTAAAATGTTTTTCAGCATTTTATATAAACCAAGCATCTTGTGCAGGTAGGTTATACTTATTCTTTACTTATATATGGATATTAAACGCATTATCCCACTCAATCGGACCAAAATTACTAATTGAGTGAAATTTATTTTCTTTCTTTTAAATAAGCTTTTATTAAGTTCACAATGTTCTTTTTTTGTTTGTTTGTAAGTTGTGGCATATCTTGTAACTTAATTTGGACCGTCTTCAAATGCACTTCTTATATTTATTAAAATGTAATTAAAAAACAAATTACTATATGGAATAATAAAATACTATTGCTCTCTAAGTTGGCCCTCGCGAATGAACTGGTTGTCACGGTTGGCTGAGTTCTTGCCTCGCTTCGACCAAGAACTAAGAATATTCCCATCTTTTCCTGTAGAATATCAATTACTTAAATTGCACCGAAGATAAGAAAATGAAAACAACTTTCTTTATTTAATAAAAGCCTTGGTCGCTAAAGTATGTTACTGATCTTATGATTACATTCAATTCCAAGAAATAATGTTTAAAAATAATCTATTAAAAATGAATACAAGAAATGGAAAAAAGTGGTAATTAAAAAATATTAAATAATTTAATTTAATTTAAATAATTTAATTTTATTATTAAATAAATAAATAAATAAATAAATAAGTAATACTTAAAAACCTGTTTTAATAAAACTTTGCTTTACTTTTTTAATTCACTTACAATGAGACTTGAAAGCTAATATGTGACTGGGTTTCATTCAAACATAATAATTAATAATGTCCAGAGTAAGGGCGGACTTTGGTTATAAATAGTTTTTATTTTCTATATAATTTATCTATTTTTACAATTCATCCAGGGGGGGGGGGAGAAGGGAGTGGCGGCAAACGTATGTGTGTATGTGTGTATGTGTGTATGTGTGTATGAGTATATGCGTGTTTGCGTGTATGTGTGTATGTGTGTATGTGTGTATGTGTGTATGTGTGTATGTGTGTATGTGTGTATGTGTGTATGTGTGTATGTGTGTATGTGTGTATGTGTGTATGTGTGTATGTGTGTATGTGTGTATGTGTGTATGTGTGTATGTGTGTATGTGTGTATGTGTGTATGTGTGTATGTGTGTATGTGTGTATGTGTGTATGTGTGTATGTGTGTATGTGTGTATGTGTGTATGTGTGTATGTGTGTATGTGTGTATGTGTGTATGTGTGTATGTGTGTATGTGTGTATGTGTGTATGTGTGTATGTGTGTATGTGTGTATGTGTGTATGTGTGTATGTGTGTATGTGTGTATGTGTGTATGTGTGTATGCGTGTATGTGTGTATGTGTGTATGTGTGTATGTGTGTATGTGTGTATGTGTGTATGTGTGTATGTGTGTATGTGTGTATGTGTGTATGTGTGTATGTGTGTATGTGTGTATGTGTGTATGTGTGTATGTGTGTATGTGTGTATGCGTGTATGTGTGTATGCGTGTATGCGTGTATGCGTGTATGTGTGTATGCGTGTATGCGTGTATGCGTGTATGCGTGTATGTGTGTATGTGTGTGAGGCAATGAAAGACTTTAAACTATGTAAAATATTTTCATCAATAACAGAAGTTGACGTTAGAGCTGCAGCCGATATCATGCAGACCAATTGTACTGCTGCCGACGGCATCACACCACCTGTGTGCGATACTCTTAAGACAGATTTATCTGAAGCCACGGACGATACAACGTGCGAGTAAGTATATTATATAGGCAGACCCATCATTTGAAAAAGTCGTGGACTTTTAATGGAGAATAAACTGAATAAATGACAAAAATAGGCTTTAAAAGTCTTTGTAATCATACTAGATTTTTAAAGAAATCGTTTTAAAATATGGCAAGCGGGGGCCAGTTTCTTCCAATCATGTCTTTGATTTTTCTGGGCAAAGTTCCTCAGCCATCACCATCAAATGTTTTTTCCGTGGACAAAAGATCTCCGCGGGCCGTATTTTGGAGACCCCCTGAATTATATTTACTTTGCAAAAATTAAAGCCGTTTGGGAACCACCGATTACACTCATTTTCATATTTTTGTATTGGAGATAAACCGTTGAAAATAATGTTAGATTTATTTTATCAATTTAACTATTTTAAAAACCGCCCTCAACCCATTCTTGAAGTCAACTGGAGTGTCCAGTGAAAGAAAAACAATGAAAGTCACAACAATTGAACTCCACACGTTCACTTCATCTGCACTATTGGTTAAAAGGTCTAAAGAGGAATCTTTACTTTTATTTATTATTTATAGGTTTTAGGGATTGTTCTTTCTACCAATATGTCAATTACTCTGACAATGTTTATGAATTTTACTTCAATCAGCGCTTACAAAACTTTTGGAGAGTGTCTAATAGCAAACTGTACCATGACGGAGGCGCTGTGGACAGTGTTAGTAGACTCTCGAGGACCTTGTGGTAGGTACAACTGTCACGTGGTAGTTTGGTTTCTGTCACGTGTCAGTGTCACGCGGTGGTGTGTACTATTTGACAGTGCTAACCCCAGTACATAGTAGCGGGGTTTATTTCAGACCTTTTTACTCCGGGGGAGGGGGGGGGATTTGAAATGCAATGTGTACACATGTTCGTTTATGTTGTAAATGATTTTTTAATAATATATACAGTTTAAACTATTCTATAAAGATTGTTTTATTCTTATTGAGTTTTAACCAACTTTAAGTTGAAACTTTTTTTGGATATCGTATGCTATTCAAATCAATTTTTAATGTATTAATTATACTTTACTTTTTCAAAGCTGAACTATCAACAACGGCCAGCACCACCACAATAACTACGCCAATCACCACAACGCCAACCACAACTACAACAACCACAGCGGCACCCACAACTACGACAGCCACCACAACGAAACCCACATCAACGACAACAGCTACTACAACTACAACAACGAAACCAACAACTACGACTGCAACCACAACTACACAAGGTAAGTAATAGAACTTCATATTTTATAATTTTATTATTAAATATATACCGCTATAACTATCCATAACTATCCACACACAAGCCTACACATTCTCATTTAATTAAAATATTTAAAAAATATATAAGTAAATATACCTATTAAGGCTATAATCTTATTGTTATTTATAAACTAGAGTGTGGTGTAAAGTATTACATGCTATAATCGATTTAAAAACAACCTAGTTTAACAAATTGTAGATGGCATGGTCGGGTGAAAGAGCACAACGATGCTAACCCCAAATGTCCCAAGTTCAAATCCCTAGGCAGATGAATCTCCTAAGCTGCGGGACGGCACTCTATCAGACTGACAAGATTCCAAAACTCAAATTACTTTTCACCAGCTTCTGTTAACAAATTAGCACCAAACGAAATGTTTATCTTTAGACTACCTCACAGACTGGTTGAGAGAGGAATCACGTGATATCAGTGTTATGACACACGTCCGCTAACCCATGTTAACTTATCCAACACAGATCCTCTAGAGGTGATCCGTAACTACGTATCGACTGCTGTGATACCCAACTGCACACTTAAAGTTGAAACGTCTGACTGCACGACAGAGGCAGACACTGTAAAAGCTGGTACCAGTACGGTTATGGCCTGCAAGTGAGTTAGGTGTTTCACGTTGTTTTTCCCTTTCAGGTGTATTATCAATAGTTACTGCCACTGCCACTACCACTACCACTACCACTACCACTACCACTACCACTACCACTACCACTACCACTACCACTGCCACTGCCACTGCCACTACCACTACCACTACCACTGCCACTGCCACTGCCACTACCACTACCACTTCCACTACCACTGCCACGGACACCTACACTTACACTTACACTTACACCTACACCTACACCTACACCTACACCTACACCTACACCTACACCTACACCTACACCTACACCTACACCTACACCTACACCTACACCTACACCTACACCTACACCTACACCTACACCTACACCTACACCTACATCTACATCTACATCTACACCTACACATACACCTGCATCTACACCTACACCTGCACCTGCACCTACACCTACACCTACACCTACTCCCACACCCACACCCACACCTACACCTACATCTACATCTACACCTACACATACACCTGCACCTACACCTACACCTGCACCTGCACCTACACCTACACCTACACCTACACCTACACCTACACCTACACCTACACCTACACCTACACCTACACCTACACCTACACCTACACCTGCACCTACACCTACACCTACACCTACACCTACACATACACCTGCACCTACACCTACACCTACACCTACACCTACACCTACACCTACACCTACACCTACACCTACACCTACACCTACACCTACACCTACACCTACACCTACACCTACATCTACATCTACACCTACACATACACCTGCACCTACACCTACACCTGCACCTGCACCTGCACCTACACCTACTCCCACACCCACACCCACACCCACACCCACACCTATTTGTTTGTAACACGTGTAGAAAAATATAAAAATTTTCCAGTCTGTCTCGCTTGTCATCTATCTATACAGATAAAATGTTCTTCATTAGTCGTTACTGTAAACATTGAACCGTTTATCCATAGTGCAACCGAACCGCTCTTTAAGTGCCTAAGCGAAAAATGTAATGAATCAGCTGATCTGAATACAGCCGTTTCCAAAATCAAAGAGCTGTGCGGTGTGTATTTTTAACGTTTTATAAATAAATAAATTCCTTTTACTTTTTTATCACAATGTAAAAACAGTTTTAAGAAAACATTAAAACAAAATATTGTAGCTGCACATTTAACAATTATCTCTGTGTGCATTTAAACAGAACTTAAATATGTTATCCGTAAAGTATGTAAAAATGACATTTCAATGAGATATCAACTACCCAGTCGGTTATATAAATTGTTTATATTTGTGTTACAGGTGCTGCCACCATGCTGAAAGTAAAGGAAATAATGATTGTTATAGCTTGTACTATGGTTTTCCTAATAAAAAGTAATTAAAACTAGAAGGGAAAATGCTAATAAAAAAAGAATTTGTTAGCTATCCACTAAAACATTCTACTTTAGCTTATTTTGTTTTTCTCAATTAACACAATATTTATTTTAACAACTGTAAGCCGTGTACAATTTTTAATTAATAATATAAATATACAGGCCGCTATATGTTTTTCTTGTGATATTAATAAATGTTGTGACTTTTATAAGAGGAGTTGGTGCCAATAAAAATAATGTAACTAATGTGTTATCACAGAACAAAACAAAACACAAAGACAAATGATAGCACAAACGCAAACACAAACGCAAACACAAACGCAAACACAAATACAGGCACAAAAGAAAAAATAAACGCAAATGCAAACTTAAACAAAAACGCAAACGGAGGTATTGATTATTGATTGACATTGACTTACTTTTGACTAAGCCCTCTTTGCTCATTATGGAACATAACGCCTCCAACATGTCCTTCCATTTCACCCGATCTCGGCTATTAATTTTGCCATCTCACAGGACATCCTTGATGATTGCCATTGATTGACATTAAGGCTATTTTACTCCACAAACACATCACCCACCAGGCATATAAGAATACATTGTGATCATATTACTACGTAATAAAGTTAGTTACAAATAATAAACTAATCTCATTAAGTAAAATAAACTCAAAAGTTAAAAATACGAACCCAAAATAATAAACTAATTTATATCAATTGTTAAGGATTTCTTAACAACACACACATAACGAAATCACGTTCCTTGGACGAAACAAACGAAGGCGTCTGAGACCGAAATTCTCGGTTCAAAAACAACTAAGTCGGTCGTGCAGATATAGTCGGTTTGGCGGCGAGATATTTAGAACTAGCAAACTGTCTATCTTTTTAAAACTGCTATCGTTTTGTAAATATTAACAAAAATTATTTTAAAACGCTAGAGTATAATCGGTAAAGAGTTTCTTCACACAGATAATTGAAATATAATTAATTAGATCGATCGATTATGAAATAATCAGTTTTTGTCTCTCATGTAAAATTTGCATTTTCGGAGTTAGACGGTTTCCGACCGAGGCCATCGATATATATTGCTATGCGTGTGTGTGTGTGTGTGTAGAGAGAGAGAGAGAGAGAGAGAGAGAGACATGAAAAATGCGTTGAGGCAATTATTACCAGCTTTGGCAATTATAACGTGAAAAGGTGCGCTTGCTTTTTGTACGTGAAACATTCACGTTTATCAAAAGAAACGGAGCGGCATTATACGGTTTCAATAGGACTTTTAACCGCCTTGTTTATGACTTCCTTAACCTGAGACTGAAAAGAAAGGAAACTTTTCACGATGTAAGGAATACTCAATACGAACAGGATGTACTGTGTGAGACTAACAAGATTTGATCTCGTTTGGTTTCTTTTTTACCTGGAGTAAAGGAAACAGTCGGGGTAGGGGGGGGGGGGGGCGGGGGAGGATTTGGGATGTTGACCGCTGACGTGTGGAGATATTTTGGTGGGTGGGTCGGACTTCTGTGACGATGTGTGACACTGGTTAGAGGGGTAGTGGGGGTTAAAAATTTGGAAAAAAAATCCCACATGCCGCCATTTTTATTGTTGTGTTTGTTCACTATGAAGAGTTCAGTTTACTTTAAACAGATTAAAATGTGTTTACTGTAAAAAAAATCAAACAAAGAAATATTTATCTGGGCGCTCACTTTCGGAAAATAAATTCCCTTCATAGGGAATTCACTGATAGATTTACATTGTATAACATAAGATAGGTTCAATTTTCATCATTTAGCATTCAGGCTTTCATTTTTAGTCATACCAGCATAAAACTTTAGTAGGTTTACAGGAAATAAAATTTACTTTTATCGTTGTGGTGCATTTTTACTTTCTCGTATATACGTAGTATAGAGAAAGTATTGTAATCGTGCAAAAAAAAAAATCGAGATTTTTACAAATCTCGACGTTTTACACCTCACTGATACGGAAAATCATAATTTTGCAATCTTGTCCGTATGTCTGTGTGTCTGTGTCTGTGTCTGTGTGTGTGTGTGTGTGTGTGTGTGTAAACACGATAACTTGAGTACCGTTACAACTAGGTTGATGAAATTTCATATATAAGTATTTTATCAAAATCGTAGATCCGTATCAACTTTTGAGCGATTTCCGATAACCGGAAGTGGTACTTTTTCTACTTTGAAATTTTTCAAAAGCCTATAACTTGAGTACTATTTCAGATAGAGGAATGAAATTCGCGTAAGACTACCAAATAATTCACAGTTTGCGATTTCGTGCATTCTTTCTTACAGAGCACGTCTAAAATTAAAAATAAAAATAAACAGAGAATTTGTCAGATGTGATATTTTATTTTGATAAAATATATCTGACTATATCACCTAGTGATATATTTAATAGCAGAGCTTTTTAACGTTACAGCTGATCAAAAATTGAAGGGAAAACTCGCTTTATCTGCCTTGCTTGAAAAATAACTTTCGCACACTCACACGCACATACATTCACACACACACACTCACACACACGTACAATCACACACATATGCTGTTATACACCGCAAAAACGCACACGGAAACTCACACACACACACATAAACGTACAAACACAAATACACACAAAAGGACACCAGCAAGGATATAGACACACAAACTCGTTATGTAATCCCAGTTTCTAAATATTTTAAATTATTTGAAAAGGGGACGTGATTATTATAACAACTACCTAGCAAAGTATAAACACAGTTATCCACCAGCAGGCTCTCCCACTCAAATATCTTATGGTGTAAATATTTTGATTAATATTTATATAAGAAAAATGTATGTCAAATTTAGAGGATTTTTTATCAAAATAAAAAGGATCAAAAGATTTTTGAATGCTTTTAGGTAGTTGGCCCACCGTCCATCCCTCCTCGAACAGATTAACTGTCGATTCTCCACCCACCTTAAGCATTACACTGTAAAACATTAAAAAAAAAATGATGCTGAAATGAAACTAAAATGATTAATTTTGCTGCGTTGTTTTTTTGTTTAATTACTGTCCATTGTTGTATTATTGAATCAATTCCTGTCTTTACTATAATATTCAGTTCTTTTACCTTTGTTTTTAATGTCTGTCCATTGTTGTATTATTGAATCAGTTCCTCTTGCCTTCACTATAATATTCAGCTCTTTTACCTTTGTGTTTAATTACTGTCCATTGTTGTATTATTGAATCAATTCCTCTGGTCTTCACTATAATATTCATCTCTTTTACGTTGTTTATTTTTTTCACTAAGGGGTCTTCACAATGCGCGTCCCACTTTTTATTGAAAGGCCCATTTTCAAATCTTGAGCGACCGATACGCTTTAAACAGAGAAGGGGCGTAATTTAATTAAGCTAATTTAGGTCTCTGATTGCTAGTTTTTATGATTGCATTGTTAGGCGAAAATAGCCTGCATGCCGAATTTCAGATCTCTAGAGCAATAGAAGTGGGTTAATTTTCGTTGTCAATTTTAACAACAAACAAACCCATAAACAAACGCGAAGCTGAGTTTAAAAAAAAGTGGTAAAAAAAGCGCCCGTCCCAACATTTTTTAAATTTAGTTTGAACATTTACACCTTAATAGTAGGCCTAGTTTTTTTTTCTCGGGGGAGGGGGCACTTGATATTTCCCGAGGGAAAAGGGGTGGGGGCGGACTAAATTTTCCGGAGGAGGGGCGGACACTGGTTACAGTTTATAATTTCTATTTAAATTCCATTTCTTTTGGGAGGGGATAGACTTCCGGGGGGGGGGGGGGGGATGGGAGCATGGAAGAAACTGCACTTTAGGGAAATTAAGCGCGGCTGGGCACAGTGCTGACACCCTCCCCCCCCCCCCCCACTGAAGCACGACTACCGCCCACCGCCACTCCCAAACAAAATAGATTATTAGAAAATACATACCTTATACCTTTTACCAGGTTCAGCAGTGAAAGTTATCTGGGTTATAATCTATAATTAGTAACGCTAAGTGTAGAAATGTGTACGTAAATAACTATATTTTTTTTTCTGTTCGGTAAGATTATAAGGAACAATGACTGCTTGGAAAGAGAAGCGCTCTAGAGCCACTTGATATACTTCAAAGCAGAATAAATCCTCCCTCCATACACCCTCCCCGGTAAGATTATAAAGAACAATGACTGCTTGTTAAAATAAAATGTATTACATGGCCCTCAGGGGCCCATGTGAGCCTTTGGGGGCCGAAACAGACATTTTTATTTGCAGCCTAGTCGCACCCTACCAGGGCGCCAGAGGACACGCCTGATTCAATTTAGTAAGCGTTTGTAACGTCCCATCCTATCCATTGTCTATCACACTGTTTAGACCGAACGTAGTTACCATAGCGCTCACGGGAAAGACCAGGGCGCCATATCGCATCCTGCCGGGGGGGGGGCGCCTATGCAAAATTACCCCCCCCCCTTCCTCACCACCCACACACCACTATTCCCCCCTCACATCCCAGAAACCTTCTCGGGAGTATTCATCAGGTATAATTTGTGTCAAACCGCAATCGTCTTTTATTTTTATATACCGTGTATAGAGTAAAATCCCACCATTCCGTGGCGCCGCCCTTGCGAAATAAAAAAAAAGATTTTTTGTTTACAGAAACCTTCTCCTGGAGTGTTCAACTCCCCAAAAGTTTGATGGCGATCGGACTAACGCCGCGAAATCGCAATCGAAGTTTATTTTTATATACCGTTTAAAGAGGAAATCGCACCCTCCTGTGGCGCCGCCCTTGCGAAAATAAAACTGAAATATGATTTTTTTACAAAACCCTACCCCAGAGTGTCCTAATCAACTCCCACAAAGTCTCATGGCTATCGGATGAACGGTGTCAAACCAAAATCGACTTTTTTTTTTTTAAATACCGTATATTGAGAAAAAATAAATCTGCGAATTTGAAATTTTTTTCCGTAGAAAACTCCCCAGGAATATTCTCAACAACTTCCCAAAGTTTCACGGCGATGTGATAAGAGGTGTGGTGATGCATAAAAGACACACACACACACACGAACACACACATAGACATACATACATTGCTTTCTATATACATAGATTGTGTAGTCACAGCAGGAACTTATCATTGCAATGTTGGTTTACTGTTGGTGCTTGGGAGTAGATTTTCACAGTGAATGAAGTGAAACTTTTAGTGCTAGTTTACTGTTATTGATATCAAGGAGTAGATTTTCAATGTAAATGTGATAAAATTATTTATTACTTTTATCTCAGTCTTGCGTAAATGTTACTTCTAACTAACACGCGTAAACTGAAGCCGTGACTAAATTAAAGCGTCTTACACCCTAAATACACCAGATTTGTAGGAGCTGTTGCTTAATGTAACGTCTATTTATATTTTGAAATATGTTTTGTGCTTTTACAATAATAGTCAAAGAAAACTAACAATGTTATGTAGGCCCCCCCCCCTCTTACATTGTTTCTTTCAGGGGGAGGGGGGGTAGGGGCATTTGATATTTTAGGGGGGGGGAACAAAGGTAAAAGTATATATTTTATATATAAATTCCATTTTGTTCGGGAGGGGGAGGGGATGCCTAGAAGAAACTCTGTCCCTTTAATGTTTTTTTTTTTGCGTTACGATGTACTTTTGTCGTAATGTATTCCCAATTATTATTTTTATTTTATAATATTTTCTTACTATACAGAAAAATTAATTTCAATCTTTATTTTAAAATGTTGTCTTTGAATATAACAGAGGTTGGTAGACCGAACAGTGGAGTGGGGTTAAGTGGGGGTTGTGTCTGGGAGAGAACTGCAGGTCGTAATGACCGGGGGACGAAAATGTGTTTATCAAGATTTGTAAATATTATGAAAGATAGAGCTAGAGACATTTACTTCAGTTCGGATCAATAGCCTACCTGGATTCAATGTAGACATAAAGACCCCTCACCCCATATCTCGCTAGTCCTTTGATTCAAAAACTGTATGCAGTGATTCATACATACCGATGCAGTGATTAATTCAGATCAACCTGGTAAGTGCTATCCGTTCTGCGTGAGTTGGGACCTATATTCCCTCTAAGCTGCGCAGTTGCGCGGCCGCGCAGTAGTTTTCAACTACAAATTTAAATGTGTAAGACTTTTAGAACACCGCGCACAAAAAATACATGTTGCGCACGATCTTTTCTCCCTAGACGGAACAATGGTTGGGATTAAACAGTATTATTCAGATTTTTAAGAAATTGTTTTTCAAACTTTTTTTAGTATATGTAAAAATAAAAAAGGCCTACAAAGGAAGGTATTTAAATACATACGCTTAAAATATCAAATGTCAAACAAACACGTCCTTTCGTTTACAATGGGCGGTCCACTTTCAACTCTCTTGGTTCTTGGATCATTATCAGGCTAGGCATATAGTTTAGCTGCCACACAGTACCCCAACATGCAGTGGCGTAGGCAGGGGGGAGGTTAGGGGGATCAGAACCCCCCTTTCATAGACCCCTCGGTAGATACATAAAGGTTGAGCGGGGGGGGGGTGGGGGTGAAAAATCGAAAGTCTGAGGGGGGCGGGGGTTCAAATCAAAAGTTTGAGGGGGGGGATATAAAACAAAAGTTTGAAGGGGGGATGCAAATAAAAAGTTTGAAGGGGGGGGTGCAAATCAAAAGTTTGCCCTCGGGGGCCGGGGAGGGGCGCTACGCCTCTGATATATACATTTATGATGCGGGAAACAAATTGAACCCCCATCCCATGAGACGATCCTGGCTACGCCAATGCCAACATGTAGTTTGTTATTTGTTTCTTTTTCGAAACAACGTGTGTTTGTTTGGGATAATTTTTTCGAGATATTTTGTCTGAGATCATTTTTCAATGATATCATCTGTCCTGATTTATTTTGTCCTGGTATCTTTTGTCCGTAAGATCATTTGTCCTGAGATCATTTGTCCTGTCACCATATATATATATATATATATATATATATATATATATATATATATATATATATATATATATATATATATATATATATATAACGATTGTTTTTGTTTAGCATTAGGTAGAAGTAATCTAAAATACATTTACAGATACATAAACATAAAGTAGCCCAGGATGTTTTTACAAAGAGTTGGACTAATGGTATCAGCTGTGTTGCTGTTTCGTGGGTGCTCTGCTGATGGTGAGTACAATTTAATTAAGATCATTTGTTGTGTGTTGATATATATATATATATATATATATATATATATATATATATATATATATATATATATACTAGCTGCATACCCGTGCTCCGCCACTTGGAATCTTTTTAAATGTAACAACTATGGAACAGAACAAAAGTAAACACAAACACAAACGAAAATCAAATACAAACAAAGCACAACGCAAAAACAAAAGGAAACACAAACCCAAAAAAAAACGCAACAAACAAACACAAAAGAAAACACAAACACAAATAAAACAAAAACACAAATAAAACACAAACCGAAAAACAACGCAAACAGAAACACAAAAAAACACACAATAGAAAACGGAAGCATTTTGGTGTGAATATGGATATTCACGAATATTAAATGTGTGTTGATGTCAGCATAGTGTTTTATAGCTCGCATTTGCAATTCGCCTGCCTTGATAGATGAGTACCTACCACACGAGTGGTCAGACGATGAGCATCGCAGCCGAATGTATTACCATCTTATTGTTGAAATACACGTAGGCACAATTTGTAAGGCGGAGTGGCCGTAACCGATGTGACTGTTTTGCAGCTAATTACCTGATTGACCCACACACGGGATCATTGGTTCTCGAGGAGATTAAAAACTGTGCAATAGTAAATATTAAAGACGGCTTGGTGGGGTGGTAGAGCTGACGAATGATAACCCGAAATTCTCGAGTTCATATATCTACTCTCGAATGTTTGTGATGTCACTGATGCTTTCGAGATGACTTGGGAGCAAATAAATATAGCCGCTCAAAACAGAGTTTGGTGTACTGGTGTAGTTGAAGCCCTTTAGATTTTAAAATCCGATTAAGTTACAGTTATATTAATTACCGATTCCTATTAAAATTTCTTACCCAGATAAAATTCTGGTTTCGGATATATTTCCCCTTGTACTTTGTTACTTTTAACTTTTCAGCTCCCTTTAAATTCCTCTATCTGTTGCATTTCTGTTTCCAGTTAAATTTCCGTCTCAAGATGAAGTTTAGTTTTTTTTAAATTATTATTAAATTTAGTCTAGGGTAAAAGTTCAGTTTTGGCTAAATTTGCATTTCCCGAAAATTTGCGGATCCAGTTCAAATGCAGGATCCGGTTAAAGATTTAATTTTGTGTTAAATATATAATTTAAAAAAAGTATTTTGTTTGACATTTAGATCAATGCAAGTCCTACAGTGAATTGGATTCCAAGCCAAAGACTGTAGCTGCTTCCACCCATCATGTAAGTTGAGCCCTATCATTTTCCTTATTGTTATCAGTTAATGTTGCTAATCCGAAAGTCCCGAGTTTGAACCCAAAGCAGACGAGGCTTGTCAGCTGGGGACATCAACTGATCAAGGAGAGACAACTCCGAAAATAAGAACAGGCCAGGAGCCCGGTAGGCGATAGGATTACCAACTCTGGTTTTATTTTCAGCACCCCCCCCCCTTGCAACACTGTTAATTACAAGTTGTGCTAGTAATGTCCTGACCTTTGGGTCCATCTCTTTGAAGGGAATGAGGGTTAGATACATTTCCAAATTCTGACTCTTCTCACCCTACCGTCCAGGCTTTGTGCTTCGATTCCCAATGCGCAATCATTTAAATGTTTATTAGACTGTGGTGCCAAATAAGTTTATTAATATAGTTTAGAGAGAAATTTCTACCAAAGCACTGTTGACACTGGTTATGTATGGATGTCATAAGAAAATTGAACTGATGATGACGATACTATTTTCTATTTTATCCCACTCTTCTCTTGCACATTATGATCACTAGATCACAGTTTCTTTCTATACAATTCTAATCGACGATGTGCTGCTAACTTTAGCTTAATATTGGACGTGGTTTTTTTTTAATTACAAAATTAAACCAGATTATGTTAGGAAACAAGTAAAAGTTATTTTTTTAAAAATGTGCATGAACTACATAGAATATGTTCGAAACTGATGAGTCTATTTAAAACTGTGCTGCAACCATACATAGAAAATTAATAACAAATCGAAAAATTCAAATCAAGCAGTACCATAATCGCTTTTCATCCATAATTGGCTTAGTGTACTTTACTTGATAAAAAATAAAAGCAGAAGCTTCGTTTATAGGGTAGGCCAGAAGATTGAATATTAAAATACACGCACAAACAGTGTACAGAATATTAATTATTCGAAATGACATACTAACACTTTTACACTTATGATCTGCACTTTGTTTTATTTTACTTCCATGCTCAGGATTGTTATTTAGCGTGTTTGGCGGATCCTAACTGCCCTAATTACAACTGGGGTCCTAATTGTCAAATTACCTTGGCAACTTCGCCGATCGACACTTCCTCAAACCAGCGGGCTTCGAGCGTAAATATTTGTGTTAATGATCCCTGTAAGTAATTAATGCCATGGCTATCAGTAATTACTCTAATGCAGTGGCGTAGCGAGGGCGGGTGTCACCCGGTGCGGCACTTAATGGTGTCACCCCCCAGAGGCGTAGCGACCCTTCCCTGGGACAAACTTTCAAATTTTCGATTTGCACCCCCCCCCTCAAACTTTCAAGTTTTTCTTTATATATTTTGCTTTTTTTGCCTTGGTGTCACCCCCCTAAATGGTGTCACCCGGTGCGGTCCGCACTCCCCGCCCCCCCCCCCCCTCGCTACGCCTCTGCTCTAATGATTCCAAGATAGAATCAGGGTACTGCCTGAATAAGGGTTTTAACATCTTCACTATAAATGTTATATTTAAAATAACGATAGTAGCTAGGGAATTGTAGATTGAATTAGTAAACGATTCTGTGTATTATGTAAACAAATAGCCGGCTTTTAAAACCTGCGGTATAGCTTCATCGGTCTGAGTGTTAAATCTCGTTCCTTGACAGACCGATATTGTTAATAGACACCTCACCACAGATGGACTGTCCGTATCTTAAAATGCCAAATTTAAAAAAAATACGTAACTATCGCTGTTCGACTCAAGGTAAATTTATGTCACGGCTGCGACTAGGATCTAACTTTTCTGTGTTTATCATTTACAATTTACGTTGGAAAGACGATTTTTAAATACAAACAATCAACACCCTACCTACGTCCACACCCTACTTATGTCTGAAAAAAAGTCTACGTACACAGAAGACGGGCATTCTATATCGAAGTATTGGAGATAATTCATTACAAATAATAAATTAACTTTATTGTTATATTCGAAGTCTTTTTGAATTTGTTTACAATTGTTTGCGTATTTATTTTTTGGGGAAGTATTTTCTGTAGATAAACGGGCTTGAAGTTTTGTTGTGGAAATTTTATATATATATATATATATATATATATATATATATATATATATATATATATATATATATATATATATATATATATATATATATATATATATATATATATATTGTATTTTTTTCTCCAGCACATTGCTCAGCATATGCTCTATTCATTATCAAAGATCCTATACTTGTCGCTCATGCGGTAGGTGTAAATTATGTCTTTCATTCTATTTAATCTTCCTCTTATACAGGGAAACATTGTGTTTTGATACTTTGAATACCGTATTAGTTAGGTGGAAAATATGCCATATACAATTTTGAGATATTATTCCAGGTTTCTTTCATCTTGGGTCTATTCTGAAGACTTAAAATGGCAATTTTATTAATTTAAGTTTCTCAAAAAGCTCAATAATTTTATAATTTTATATCATACTAGACCATCCATAAATCCCATTGGATAACTATAGGTTTCGGGGTTATGCATAAGCGACGTCTCGATTGTTAACTTCCTCCCTTCTATGCTCCACAGTCACAAAAACCCGGACCCATCCACCCACTCGCCCCACGTCTAAAAAGAATTCCCACTTCAGCTAACAACTGCTTGTCTGTCAGTGTGTCTGTCTGTGTGTCTGTCTGTGTGTCTGTGTGTCTGTGTGTCTGTGTGTCTGTGTGTCTGAGTGTCTGTGTGTCTGTGTGTCTGTGTGTCTGTGTGTCTGTGTGTCTGTGTGTCTGTGTGTCTGTGTGTCTGTGTGTCTGTGTGTCTGTGTGTCTGTGTGTCTGTGTGTCTGTGTGTCTGTGTGTCTGTCTGTTTGTCTGTCTGTCTGTCTGTCTGCCTGTCTCTGTCTGTCTGTCTGTCTGTCTGTCTGTCTGTCTGTCTGTCTGTCTGTCTGTCTGTCTGTCTGTCTGTCTGTCTGTCTGTCTGTCTGTCTGTCTGTCTGTCTGTCTGTCTGTCTGTCTGTCTGTCTGTCTGTCTGTCTGTCTGTCTGTCTGTCTGTCTGTCTGTCTGTCTGTCTGTCTGTCTGTCTGTCTGTCTGTCTGTCTGTCTGTCTGTCTGTCTGTCTGTCTCTGTCTGTCTGTCTGTCTGTTATCTGTCTGTCTGTCTGTCTGTCTGTCTGTCTGTCTGTCTGTCTGTCTGTCTGTCTGTCTGTCTGTCTGTCTGTCTGTCTGTCTGTCTGTCTGTCTGTCTGTCTGTCTGTCTGTCTCTGTCTGTCTGTCTGTCTGTTATCTGTCTGTCTGTCTGTCTGTCTGTCTGTCTGTCTGTCTGTCTGTCTGTCTGTCTGTCTGTCTGTCTGTCTGTCTGTCTGTCTGTCTGTCTGTCTGTCTGTCTGTCTGTCTGTCTGTCTGTCTGTCTGTCTGTCTGTCTGTCTGTCTGTCTGTCTGTCTGTCTGTCTGTCTGTCTGTCTGTCTGTCTGTCTGTCTGTCTGTCTGTCTGTCTGTCTGTCTGTCTGTCTGTCTGTCTGTCTGTCTGCATCTAACAACTAAGACCTAAGAAATGTAACGCCGACATCGTTTACATTAAAATCACTCAGTCACGCTTTCTAAAAATATAAGATTGGTAACGCTTTGATGAAATCCTCATAAAATAACGCGTCAGCCTTTCTTCTAAGATCGCATCGCACTGGTACGCTAGTTCATCTGTATAAATCTTATATAATAAATAATTTTAAAAAAGACAATAAGATAATAATTTTAACATTGTCTTGTATTCTGTAAAAAATTGTACTTATTACATTTTATTACTTTTTAAATAACAGGAGTGTTCCCGGCAATCACTAACACTCCCTGGTTGTTTTGGATACAACTATCATGATGGGTCTTGTGAACTGAAGTTTGTTGATGGAGTTCAACAGGACACGAGTAACAATGAGCCAATTGTTGCTGTGGTTCTCTGCGATAAGCGTACGTATCTGATCTTTAAAATCAAGTGTGTATCTTTTATCACCCATGTATATGGTACATAGTTCAATTAACTTCTTTCCTTCCTTATACGGAAACCGGCTCAGAAGGTTGACTTCCATTAGCCAGGCAGGCCTCAGTGTAGCAAACTCCGACCTTTAAAGAGTTTCCCACACCTTGGTCGCTACTTCCGTCGGCTCTCACCGGGCTTTCCTTCCCCACCCACCAGACGCGGGACGTCGTCCTACCGCCTGGTACCCAGCTTGATGGTGGAGGGCGTTCGGCCATTCCTTGAGCCCAGCGCATACAGCAGCTCTACTCGGCCAGGTCAAAAACCTCTAGCTGCTGTTGGCTACCACTAGCCATTCCGCACCCACTAGGGGGGTCATGAGTTTGGTCCGACTAATGGCACTCGTCCGAAGCCACGTGAAGGCCACAGCTTAAAGTCAAAATATCTGGTTAGGTTTGCGAGCAGACCCTTTTGGTTCTCGGCAGTCTTGCACCTCTCCTCCTCCACGCTATAATGTGGGGGACTTGGGAGTCCGACGTACCAAGCTCTTCGGACAGTTCAATTAACTAGCTGGTTGCATATGATGATTTTTTTAAACTAACGAATGCTAATTTAAATATAAAGAAATATCTCGTGTAGTAAAAAATTGACGTCTTTAATTAACGTAAACACTATTTCTCTAATAAAAAGCCTTTAAGCTCATATAAATAAAATACATGGCTCCATTTTCTGATGGACCGTTGGGTGATTGCGCCTTTGAATTTAAGTTTCTAAGACAATTAAACAAAAAAATGACCTTCTATACTAAATAAACAAATACAATAAAAATATAGCTTTAAAAATAAAAGCATTGTGTATCTAAAAGTTAGCGTGTCATAGTCATATATTCTGGATCAGTGGCGTAGCCAGGATCGTCTCAAGGGAGGGGGGGGTCCAATTTTTACCCGGGGACAAGCTTTCGATTTACACCCCCCTCAAACTTTCGATTTGCACACCCCCTCATAATTTATATATATACCGAGGGTCTATGGGGGGGGGGTTATGACCCTCCTACCCCCCCCCTGCCTACGTCACTGTTATGGATATGGTTGTTGCTAAAGACTCTTCTAAACATTGTTACCTTGCTAAAGCAAACAGAAATACAGAAAATTTGTAAAGCAATTTAACAATAATCGGAGATCAATTTAACTTAATTATATTCTTTGTTGTTGCTAACTGCCATCGAATTATAAAAGAATAAAAAAAAAAATAACTTTCACACGAGGGGCGGAACTACAGTGCCACCAGACCCCGCAATAGATTTGTACTAAACAAATTAAAAAGTAATTACTTCTCTTGATTATTATTTTTCTAAAACATAATATAATGACATAATATCAAAAGGAAACGTTTTTTGAACGATTTCCGATAAACGGAAGTGGAACTTTTTCTACTTTGAAATTTTCAAAAGCAACTAACTTGAGTACTATTTCAGAGAGATAAATGAAATTTCACATGTAAGTAAAAGATCTAATTCCCTGCCTTCTGTCAAATTTTGAGCAATTTCCGTTGACAGAAAGTAGTACTTTTTGCTATTTCCGATTTCTCAAAAAACCCGATTAGGCCAGAAATGAATATCCTATGTTCATATTTTTGTTTGTGTGTGTGTGTGTGTGTGTGTGTGTATATATATTAGAAGATCATCTGGCTAGGGACGACCGGTCGAAGTCCGAATTAGAAGATCATGAGCAGATTTTGGTTGTTTTTATACCGTAAGGATCATAAAATTTAAATCTTAGTTGATTATTATTTAGAATTACATTGTTATTTTTACGCTTGAAGCGACTTGTTGTGCACTAGGTTGTGCAATTGCAGTAAATGTAGCCTTGGCCGCCGGTCAGTGATTGTGAAGATGCGATGGTTCGTAGTCATTTTCCTCAGTGCCAACGGGCGACAATGAGAGCAATTTTTCGTGAAGAATTGAAAACTCACTTAAAGTTGGCGTGGTCGAGTCGGTAAAGCTCATGGTTGCTAAACCGAAAAGTCCCGAGTACGAACCCTCGGTCAGATGAGGCTCGTTAGCTGGGGACGGCCACTCTTCTCGGAGAGACAACTCCAAAATCAAACAACTGCTGCCTTGTAGTTTGTTCTTGGTTGGACAAAGGCTATGGAAGCAAATGAAATAAAATACTTAAAAAAAACTTTAAAAAAAAACACGTTTTTCTTGTGGACTAAAAAGTAGAAAATACATTTTTCTTTTGTGCTTCCTCGAGCTGTGCAGGTTCTTGTGATGACTGACAAAAAACGTGGGTACGTTCGCCATCAAATTTCCCGACCCATCTGCCCGACCCACGTTTTTTGTCAGTCATCACAAGAACCTGCACAGCTCGAGGAAGCACAAAAGAAAAATTTATTTTCTACTTTTTAGTCCACAAGAAAAACGTGGTTTTTTAAAAAGTTTTTTTTTAAAGTATTTTATTTTCTCCTTTTTAGTCCGTTGCTACACATGAAAAACGTGGTTTTTAAAAAAGTTTTTTATATAGTTTTTTTCTACTTTATCTAATGACTTGATTAAGTATGACTTGACCAAGTGTTTATAAATACACGGACTAAAAATCTTGAGCGACTAGGATTCGAACCTGGGTTGTCGCGGCCACAACGCGAAGTACTAACCACTATACGATCACGGCCAGCGCGCTCACATCGATTGGGGCCGAAGTAACTGTGTCAATAGGCCTCCAGTCCTCTCGGTATGTTTAGAAATCATGTCCTCGATTTTATGGTCCTTTGGGCGTAATTTAATTAAGCTAATTTAGGTCTCTAATTGCTAGTTTTTATGATTGCATCTGAAATTGTTAGGCGAATATAGCCTGCATTCCAAATTTCAGATCTCTAGAGCAATCAGAAGTCGGCTAATTTTCGATGTCAATTTTAACAACAAACAAACAAACAAACGCGAAGCTGAGTTAAGAAAAACGTGTTAAAAAGAAAAGCAGGCTTAAATCGGAGTCAATGGCCTCAATGGCGCATAACCAGTTGACACGTATCCTTAATTGTGATGGAGACGTGGTCGAGTCGGCACCAGCTCATGGTTGATAAATTCGAAAAAGTCTCGAGTTCAAATCCTCTGGCAGATAAGCTCGATCCCTTCCAACACTCAAAATTAAGAACGAAGAAGAAGAAAACTCACTTCTAGCATATAGCAGTTTAAATACACCATGTTCCGTTCCTAGCTTGCAGAAAGCGCCCTCGACGCTGATGACAACTGCAATGACGCTTCGGGGATCACCGCGACCTCTGTCAACATCTGGAATACGGATGCGACAAGTATCTCCCACTTCAGCGTGTTTAAATTTTGTTAGCATCTTAGCCCCTTCAGTTTGCAAGATGGTATGAGATGTTGACCTGTTGTCCGTGGTTTCTTGTTTATTGTGACATAATCTGCAAGTAATGTTCCCTCCGTAACCTTTGTCTGCTTCATTGGCTATTCCGCATATATTGCATGGACATCGTTACCTCAGGATCCCCAACAATGGGCTGCACTACAATATTGTTCACAAACTACACATAATCTGTTGGCCTTATTATTGTCACGCAACTGGTCTGGACTTTGCGACACGGCAGCAAATGTATTGGCTGAGAATGTCGTTGCATTTATGGCAACCTCCATTTCTTGTTCAATGTTCTCAAGATCTTCCTCAGTAGCTAAATTATCGAGAGCCTCTCTTGGTAGATTTGAAGTGCTAAGTCCCACTTTTGCTTTGCAAAGAAATTATATATATATATATATATATATATATATATATATATATATATATATATATATATATATATATATATATATATATATATATATATATATATATATATTGTCGCAGACTGTATTATTATGTATCTTTATTATATTGTGTTTTGCATGAATGAAGAGTACCTGGCTAGCGGAAGGACTGTCTGAGCGATCGTCATGTGTTTTTTCATGTTTTTGGGTGAGATCGCTCATGTACGTAAGGGGAGAGAATGGACCGTATAAAAGGGAGAGCAAAAGGTGAACGGGTGTTGTGTGCTAGGACTTGGGACTTGAACTGTGGCAGTGAATGTAAGATGTCTCCATGACTTGGAGTCGTGACTGTGACTGTACTTGTTGAGTATCTTCTAATATGGATTTACCATGAATAACCATGGATTTATCATTCTCACTGTATATAGTGTAAATAAAGTAATCATTTGAAGTTGCCACTATTGCTTGTATTCCTGTGTAAAAACTAACCCACAACAACAAAGAATTCATGTTGTTACATATATATATATATATATATATATATATATATATATATATATATATATATATATATATATATATATATATATAATCTTACGGATTAATAACATTTTAATTAATTGCTGTGGAGAAAATTGCTATTTTTAGCGAACTAACATACAAGGAAGGTCATTGTGTGGTAGGAATTTTGATGGGAATAAGGTTAAGATTACGATTCTGGTTTATATTGTTCAGGGATTATCATTTTACCGGTAACATACATAATAGTATTGTCTAGAAGGTAGAGTAATTACGTAGAGGTGTGACATTAATAGAAGGTGATTGACTTGGGAGAATTAAAAAATGGTTGGCATTGTCTGACACCATAGCAGTTATATGCTGTACAATATTTTTGTTTTGTTTTGTTTTCTAAAGTCCATTTTAAGCTTCTGTTATGCCATAACTTTATAAAAATGAATATTTAATGGTTTTATTTATACTTTTAAATTATGGATTCAAAGGTGAATCATCAGCAGCCGAAACTCCCACCACAACGGAACTAACCGCAACGCCACCAACTATAACGCTACCAACCACAACTGAACCAACTACAACGCCACCAACCACAGCTGAACCAACTACAACGCTACCAAATACAACGCCACCAACTACAACGCTACAAACCACAGCTCAACCAACTACAATGCCACCAACTACAACGCTACCAACCACAGCTCAACCAACTACAACGCCACCAACTACAACTGAACCAACTACAACGCTACCAACTACAACTGAACTAACCACAACGAAACCAACAACTACGACTGTAACCACAACTACTCAAGGTAAGTACACGTACTCCAATTTAAATTTAAACAGCTATGCTCTAAACGTATAAACACACAAACGCACATATACGCATTTACATATTTGAACAGTATTACCTATTATACTGTATAATCTATTTTAAATAAAACCAACACTCTAAATGAACTCATTGTTATGAAGAACGGCGTGTTTGGTTGGAAGAGCGCATAAATGTTAACTCTAATGTTCTTGAGTTCGGACCCACGAGCTGATGATGCTTGCTCGCAGCCGGTCTTGTAGATAAGACTACCAACTGGTTTCTTCTTGACAGCTTCTGCAACAGATGTTAGTAACAAAAGTAATACGCAGCATTCCATCGAACTATAATGACATATAGTCGAGAGAGGCCTAACGTAATATTCGTTTTTTATGTCCCATGTCAACTTATCGAGGTTAAATTATCTATCACAGATCCCGTAAAGATAATCATCGCCAACGTAAGTGGATCTGTCATGCCTGCCTGCACACTTAAAGATTCGAATTCTGGCTGTGAGGCTGAGTTTGGAAATATAAAGCTTGCTACCACCAAAGATGTAGCCTGCGAGTGAGTTACATGTCATTTTTATCCGCCTAGTTTTTTTTTTAATAATAGCTATTTTAGATTTTGTAACATCAGCTTAAATGTACTCATTACTATTTTAATATACAGTTAATTAGTATTCTGCAAATAGTTCAACACATTTTATGCACACACAGACGCTCGCTCGCACAGAAGCACGCACTTGCACCTGCACCTGCACTTGCACTTGCACTTGCACATGTACCTGCACCTGCACCTACACTTACACCTACACCTACACCTACACCTACACCTACACCTACACCTACACCTACACCTACACCTACACCTACACCTACACCTACACCTACACCTACACCTACACCTACACCTACACCTACACCTACACCTACACCTACACCTACACCTACACCTACACCTACACCTACACCTACACCTACACCTACACCTACACCTACACCTACACCTACACCTACACCTACGCCTACGCCTACGCCTACGCCTACGCCTACACCTACACCTACACCTACACCTACACCTACACCTACACCTACACCTACACCTACACCTACACCTACACCTACACCTACACCTACACCTACACCTACACCTACACCTACACCTACACCTACACCTACACCTACACCTACACCTACACCTACACCTACACCTACACCTGCACCTACACCTACACCTACACCTACACCTACACCTACACCTACACCTACACCTACACCTACACCTACACCTACACCTAAACCTTCACCCACACCCACACCCACACTCACAACTACACCCAAACCCACACCCAAACCTAAACCTACACCAACCCCCACACCCACACCCACACCCGCACCTACACCCACACCCAAACCCACACCCGCACCCACATCCACACCTACAACTACATTTATTTGTTTGTAACACTTGTAGAAAAATATTAAACATTTACAGTCCGTCTCACTCGTCATGTATCTATAAAGATAAATGTTCTTCATTATTCGTCACTGTAAACATTGAACCGTTTACCCACAGTGCAACCGAACCGCTCTTCAAGTGCCTAAGCAAAAAATGTAATGAATCAGCTGATCTGAATACAGCCGTTGCCAAAATCAAAGAGCTGTGCGGTGTGATTTGTTAACGTTTTATAAATAAATAAATTCCTTTTACTTTTTTTTTATCACAATGTAAAAACAGTTTAAAAAAACATTAAAACAAAATATTGTAGCTGCAAATTTTAAAATTATCTACGGATGTATTTAAACCAAGCTTAAATATGTTATCCGTAAAGTATGTAAAAATGACAACATTTCAATGAGATATCAACTGCCCAGTCGGTTATATAAATTGTTTATTTTTGTGTTACAGGTGCAGCCAACATGCTGAAAGTAAAGAAAATATTGATTGTTATAGCTTGTACTATGGTTTTCCGAATAAAAAGTAATTAAAACTAGAAGTGAAAATGCTAATAAAATAAGAATTTGTTAGCTATCCACTAAAACATTTTATTTTCGCTTATTTTGTTTTTCTCAATGAACAAAAAAATGTATTTTAACAACTGTAAGCAGTGTACACTTTTTAATAATACTAATAGTTTCGCTGTCTGTGTATGTATCTGTGTATCTATCTATCAGTGTGACAAGAACGCTATGGCGAAAAAATTAGCAATATAAAAACTTTCACAGTAAAACGAAAACGAAACATGACGTCACATGGAGCATATATTAGAAAAAAGCCTAAAGCCGGGAGAGTAATATGACGTCATTGATTCTCGAGTAAACATCCAAAAGCCAATGTTGTCTAATCTAAAATGTGGTTTGCGTAAAGAGTTTCTTTCATACAATTTTTCGGATAGGGGCGAAGCCCCACCCTCGCGTAAGAATGTCTAAGCCGCCCTCCCCCCACCCCCCAAATTAAAAGAAATGTCGTCATCGATACTCTATAATAAAATTTCCGCCTAATTCATGTCTAATCTAAAAAGTGGTTTGCTTGCAGTGTTTCTTTCATGCAACTCTTCGGGTAGGGGCGAAGCAAATTTAACCACCCCCTCCCCCCGGTAGAACGTCTAATCCCTCCCCCTAAAGAAACGAAATATAATTTATATAGAAAATATATTTTACTTTTACCAGTGTCGGGCTCCCCCGCCCCGGATAATTTTATTTGCCTCTGCAAAAATTCAAGTGCCCCACCCCCAGAAAAATATATGAAAGAAACACTGTCTGGGAGAGTGAAGTTTATCGGCCAAAAGTTGGAAACGAGGTCCAAATTATAGAAGTAGACTCTTCCTTTAGCCTGTATGATCAACAAATACGATCAGTGTTTCTTTCAGACTTTTTTCTCCCCTGAGTGGGGGGGGGGGGGAGGGTACTTGAAATTTTTTGGGGTGCGTGTGGACTAAATTTTCTGGCAGGGGGTGGATACTGGTGAAGTATATTTTCTATATAAATTCTATTTCGTTGATGGCACGGTAGATGTGCTTTGATGTGTGTGTGTGTGGGGGGGGGGGGGGGGGGGGCAAGTAGAGTCACCTAAAAAACCTCTAAATGCGACTTTTGTCATGATTGAGATTAGTTGCAAGGTTTAGGAGTATGGCTACAACTATATTTAGTATCAATGTGCAGTAAGTACGTAGAGATCAAGCTTAATCCTATTAAAGTACCGATTCTCGATAAAAATCCGTTTTCAATGTCATTTGTCGTTTCCGGTTAAATTGAATTAAGGTGGGGATTTCGGTTTTGGCTTTAGTTTAGAGAAAATAGACAGCACTATCAACCTAGCGCCCGTTGTATCCTTCCTCAACGGGCCATTTTTCTCGTTAATAATATAAATATACATTGACATAAATTTTGTGACATTTATAAGGGGTGTTGTTGCCAATAAAAATAATGTAACAAATTTGTTTTCACATTTTCATTTAAATAAAACATCGGCTGCATCAGTGTGTGCGTGTTCAGTTAAAAAATGTGTATTATATATATATATATATATATATATATATATATATATATATATATATATATATATATATATATATATATATATATATATATATATATATATATATATATAGTATTTTATACTTATATTTATATATGTACTAACTGCATACCCGTGCTCTGCCAAGGTTAATCTTTTACAATTTTACCAATTTGGGAACAGAACAAAACTAAACACAAAGACAAAAAACCACAAACGCAAACACAAATACAAGCACAAAAAAACCGCAAATGCAAACTCAAACAAAACCGCAAACACAAAGCAAACACAAAAGCAAACGCAAACACGAAACAAAAACACGAACTTAGACAAACGCAAACGCTAACACAAAACACAAACGCAAGCACAAAAGAAAACACAAACGCCAATGCAAACTCAACCATAAACGCAAACACAACACAAATACAAACACAAAAGAAAACATAAACGCAAACTCAACTCAAAGCACGCAAACTCAATCTAATACACAAACGCAAACAATTTATCAAACTACGCTTTCTCGGAGGAATAAATTATTGATTGATATTTACTTTTTTTTTTTACTTAGTCCTCTTTGCTCCTTATGGAACATATGGCCTCTACCATTTCCTTTCTTTCTAACGTATTCCCGGCTATTAGTTTTGCCGTCTCCCAAGACATTCCTGATTATTGACATTGATTGAAATTAATTAACGTTATATTACTCTACAAATATATCACCCACCTGGCATACAAATATACATTGTGATCATAGAATCAAGTAATATAGATAGTTACAGAGAATAAACTAATCTCATTAAGTAAAATAAACCCAAAAGATAAAAATACGAGCCCAAAATAATAGTCTAGCTCCTATCGAGTGTTAAGGATTACTTAACAAGGTAAAAACAATGAAATCACTTTCCTTGGGCAAAACGCACGCCGGCGGCTGAGACCGAAATTCTCGGTTCAAAACGGGTAAAACGGGTAAGTCGGCCGTGCAGAGATAGTCGGTTTGGCGGTGAGATATTTAGAACTAGCAAACTGTATATCTTTTTAAAACTGGTATAGTTTTGTAAATATTAACAAAAATTATTTTAAAACGCTTGAGTATAATCGGTAAAGAGGTTCTTCGCACAGATAATTAAAAATAATATTAATTAGATCAATCGATTATGAAATAATCAGATTTTTGTCTCTCCTGTAAAATGTACATTTTCGGTGTTAGGCGGTTTCCGACCGAGTCCATCAATATATAGCTATGCTTGTGTGTGTGTGTGTGTTTGTGTGTGTGTGTAGAGAGAGAGAGAGAGAGAGAGAGAGAGAGAGAGAGAGAGAGAGAGAGAGAGAGAGACATAAAGAATGCGTATGTGGTGTTGTCGGTGCTGAGGCAATTATTACCAGCTTTGGCACTTATAACGTGAAAAAGTGCGCTCGCTTTTTGTACGTGAAACATTCACGTTTATCAAAAGAAATTGGGCGCCATTATACAGCTTCAATGGGACTTTTAACCGCCTTGCGCACAGTTTATGACTTCCTTAACCTGAGACTGAAAAGAAAATAATCTTTTTACGATGTGGCGGAAAGCTCAATACAAACAGGATGTACTGTGTAAGACTAACAACGTTTGATCTCGTTTGGTTTCTTTTTTACCTTGAGTGAAGCACACAGTCGGGGGGGGGGGGGGGGAGATTTGGGATGTTGACCGCTGACGTGTTAAGATAATTAGGTGGGTGGGTTGGACCTCTGTGACAATGGTTAGAGGGTTAGAGGGTGCAGCGTTTCTTCCAGACTTTTTTTCTCCGGGGGGCAAGGGTACTGGAAATTTTCGGAAGGGGTAGGTGGGGCGGACTAAAATTTTCCGAGTGGCAGACACTGTTAAAAGTATATATTTTCTATATAAATTCCATTTCCTTCTGGGGGGGGGGGGGGGTAGACTCTCTTCGGGGGGGGGGGGGGGGGAGGGGGGCGGGGGAGGGGGGCGGGGGGCTCTGCCTGGAAGAAACACTGAGTGGGTTTTAATATGGTAAAAAAAAATCCCACTTGCCATAATTTGTGTGTGTGTGTGTTTGTTCACTATGAAGAATTCAGTTTATTTTAAACAGATTAAAATGTGTTACTGTAATAATCAACTCAAGAAATATTTATCTGGACACTCACTTACGGAAATTAAATTCCTTTCATAAGGAATTCAATGATAGATTTACATTTTATAACATACAACTTATGTTCAATTTTCATCATTTTGCATTCTGGCTTTTATTTTTAGCATATAGCTTTAGTAGGGTTACAGGAACTAAAATGTAATTTTTCCATTTCAGTATATTTTGCATTTTGCATTTTAGATTTTTTTTTTGTGATTTGTGAATATGATTAAAGTATTTGTTCTTAAAATTTTCATTATTTTATTTTTATTTCCACCAATGCAATAACATCATTATGTTGCAGAACCAAATAGATCGATTTACATTTACGCATTGGAGAGATAACTGTGTTTATAGTAGGTAAGATGATTGTCTATATAATTACTTCCCCTATTCGAATGATACAAATTATTTAGCAACCGGGATTAAATAGTGAGTTTGTTTGTGTCCTTGTGTGTGACCGTGTGTGCATATTTTGGGAGTAAAGGTCGCGAACGGTGCCAGATATTTGAGTAGTCCCAAAAATATCTATTGTGATCGGGCAGATGAGGCTCCTTAGCTGGGGACAGCCACTCTTCTAGGAGAGACAACTCCAAAATCAAACAACTGCTGCCTTGTAGTTTGTTCATGGTTGGACAAAGACTATGGAAGCAAATCCAAAAAGAAAAGCTGGCTGAAATCGGAGTCGATTGCCTCAATGGCGCATAAACAGTTGACACGTAATCCTTGATTGTGATGGAAGCATGGTCGAGTCGGCAAAGCTCATGGTTGATAAATTCGAAAAAAGTCTCGAGTTCAAACCCTCTGGCAGGTACGGCTCGATCCCTCCCAACACTAAAAATTAAGAACGAAGAAGAAGAAGATCTATTGTTAGAGTTATAAATATCGACATTCCTAAAGTCTTTGTTTTAAACATTCTCTAATCATCGTTTATAATACGCTTGAACTGAAAAAATGGTATGTATACACACCTTCATGCCAATATGTGTGTGTATATATATATATATATATATATATATATATATATATATATATATATATATATATATATATATATATATATATATATATATATATATATAGATATATATATTTATATACGTTAAGGAAATGAGATAATAGTCATACATCAGTTCCACTGTAGTTCTAATTCCCATTAGACTTCAAGAAACAAATGAGGTATACAGTGCATTATTTCTTACAGAGGACGTCTGATATTTTTTTTAAATTAATAGAGAATGTGTTATACTAAATGTTTGTATAAAATACCTGACTATATTACCTAGATATAACAGAATCAGATATTTATACTCATTTTAACATTACAGCTGATCAAAATCGATGCACACAACTTATTATTTTTATTTGGTACTAACAAATAGCGTATGTAGGGGGGGGGGGCGTCTGGCGAGGTGCTTTTTCGTCACAATGTCGACCCACTTTAACATCTGTACATCTGATGTTTGTGTTATTCCTACTGGATATGGACCGTCAACCATCCAAGGATTGATTATAATTAACAAGTGTAGCGTTTGTCAACTCAATTCAATATACATCTTTTATATAGAAGGACTATTATCTTTGGGTTTTAAGATCAGTCTAGAGATTGTTCACGTAAAATGTGTCCTTTAGAGTAAGATTTTGCTTATCTTTGCCAATACTAGCAGGAAGTGAAATTGCAGGTCACTTGCATAACAGCTGATCAAGAACATCTTCATAATGCATCTTGTACCGATGAACATTATTTTATTTGGAATGTGTTTAAAAATATATGCCATTATATGGGGTGGGGCTGGAGTAGGGAGGTAAATTATTGTAAAAAAAAAAAATAAACACATTTTCACACAACTCAAAGAACCAATCAAGATCAAGATAATATGCACGTAAAGACGTAGGGTGGGGAGCTTAGTCAACATATACGCTCAGTTTGAAGAAAAAATGTTTGCGTTATTTTTTATTATTGCTAATGATTTTCCTTAATGGTTAGTGATTGCTCATAAAATAAAATGTTCCCCCGTCGTCCAAAATCACTTATTAATTAAACTGCTGTCTTGTACAACTTTTGATGAAAAAACCCACAAAGACTCACTCCAAAGATGGACAGTCTTTTATGCGACTTCTGTTATGTAAGTCTCTTTTTATTATGGTGGTGGTGTGGTGTGTGTGTGTGTGTGGAAGAGGGGGGTGGGCAAGGGGGTTTCGGG